TTAACATGACGAGAATATGTTTTAGAACAATTACACGGACATCCCGAAAATTTGTTTGAAATGTGTCGTATGCATCGAGACACGTTCGAAGCAATTGTTCAGTTAATTCGAGGCCGCAATCTACTGCCTTCTTCAAGTATTTCAGCAGAAGAATCTCTAATGATGTTCTTAAGAACGGTTGCTCACTCAGATCGCAATAGAGAGATACAAGATAGATTTTGTCATTCTGGAGAGACAGTACACCGGCATTTTGATAATATGCTTACCGCTTTGTCTGCGTTAGCACCTGATGTTATAAAACTACCAAATATGAACATTGTCCCCCCAGAGATTCAACACAACCCTAAGTACTGGTCATGGTTTAAGGTACAATCTGACTCTGCTCATATACTACTAATATGACAAATAATTTTAAATTAATTGTAACTCACGCCTTATGTATTTTAATAGGATTGTATTGGTGCAATAGACGGTACACACTTTATGGTTGTCCCACCTGCACATCAATAGACAGTCTACAGAGGAAGAAAACATTCGTGTACTCAAAATACAATGGCGGCGTGTAGTTTTGATATGCTATTCACTTATGTCAATACCGGATGGGAAGGATCAGCTGCTGATTCCAGAGTGTTAACTGAGATTTTAAGAAATCCAGATGACCCATTCGTGGCGCCACTCCCACCAAAATATTACGTTGTGGATTCCGGTTACAGCAACACGCAAGGCTTTTTGGCACCATTTCATGATCAGAGGTACCATATTCAACAGTTTAGAAATAGTGGCCAACCAACGGGACCACAAGAGTTATTCAATTATTATCACTCCTCACTGCGTAATTGCATAGAGAGGTGCTTTGGGGTCTTGAAAGCAAGGTTTAAAATTCTTAAGCATATGACAAACTATTGGATGCCAAGACAAAATAGTATACCAATAGCTTGTTGTGTGATCCACAATTTAATTAAGTTGCACGCGCGAGATGATCCCCTATTTAGACAATATGAGGTCGATTTGCCCGTAGAAGATATTGAAGGAGAGGGAGAACAAGAAGGGCAACAGGAACAACAACATGGTATGGATGCATAAGAAGCAGAAACATCTGAAATGGATGGTCGGCAACAACGTAATTACATGGTTGATTTTAGGGATCATCTAGCTAATCAAATGTGGGATTCGTATAGGCGACAATAATTTAAGCTAATATATTGTAATTTCCATATTTTATTAATTATTTTATTAATTATTAGTGTTTTTATTTAGGATTCAATTATTATTTATTTAATATATTAAATACCTATTACATGTTTTCAAAAATGAAACCAAACGCATTTTCAGTTTTTTTTTTTTTAAACTGAAATCAATCTCTAAATAAAACTACCAAACGCATTTTCAGAAATAATTCAAAAATGAAAATGAAAACGTTTTCATTTTCATTTTCGTACAGAAAATAAAAACGTTTTGGAACCAATTCCAAACGCACCCTTAAACATCCTTAAAGTATGTTTGGCAGGAGGGAGAGGGTCCATTATTTGGTTAGAGAGAATTGGGACGGGGGAGGAGACTTGGAAGGAGAGAGGGCCCACCATTTTGAATCCTTTAAAGGATTCAACAAATCTATCTAATTTTAAATTAAAAAGACCATATTATCCTTCAAAAGAAATTATTATAACAAATAGTAAAATGAACAATACAGTAGTTAGATAAATAATTATCATCCATCCTTATAACTCTCCATTCTTTTTACTAAACAACATAAAAGATTACTATAATTTTCTCCATCCTTCCAACTCTCCATCATTTCTACTCTCCATCCTCCTACCAAACAAAGCCTTAAAGAAAAGAGAATAAGAATAAGAAAATAAAAATAAAAATAAAAATGTGAAAGAGATTTAGGTCAATTTCATAGTTAAAATCAAGCTTTAACCGAAAAAGGTAAAGATTTTACATATGAGTTTGAAATGTGAAGGTGTATATTTGATATACTTCAGACAAGATATGACTTTTTAATCACCTCAAAATGCATGGTATAAAAATGAAAAATAAAAAACCTTAAATATATATATATATATATATATTTAAAAAATCAATATATATGGACGAGTTTTAAATAGTTACGTTTCCATGATAGTTATCCATCAAACATAGAAATTTAGTTACCTGACGCAATAAGATTCTAATTTTATTAATTGTCATAAGTTTTTATTAAATACTCAATCTATTATTACAATTGTCTATTTAATATCTTACAGCTAAAATAATACCATTAAAACCGCACCCATATTATTAAAATATAGATCTCTTTTTTCTTTGTAGAGAGCAAAAGAAAACCTCTCTTTTATTATATTTGTTATGAATTTTTTGCTCTAATCTCCATATTGAGAGAGATTGATATTAGAGTATTTGAATGATTTGAAATCATTCCTTATTCTTTTTTCTCATACTAAACGGTTATGGGTATTAAAATTCTTTCCCTCACCTCTTTCCATCCTTTTACTTTTCTTTCATATCAAACAAGCGCTAAAAGTTTATTCTATGATTAAAAATATTCCTGTACACTCATTCTAACGTTTCGAAAGAAGCATTACTCTTATAGGTGGTTGTAATCAAGTTTTGAAATAGACAACCATTATGAAACTATAGTATATGAGCCCTTTATCTCCATATGTAATAAGTGAAAGTGAGGAAAACTGAACAAAATTTAACGTGTTAATTGTAACCAATTAAAGAATTTGGATTATTTCGTCAAGATTAAAAAACTAAATACCAAATTTTTACTTTCTAGATAGTTTAAGGACTATCTATATTAATTACTCACGTTTTATGTCATTTGTAAGTCTATCTTATATACATGTTACAATCTTTTTATTTTTCTTTTCGGTTTCAGTGTTAAAGTAAATAATCACCTTATTAAATATGCTATTTTACTCTGTTAGTGCATTTTTTGTGTTGGCTTATTTTTGACAAATTGGTTGTAAGATTGGTTGGCATTGTAAATTGGTAGTCCTCTTAAAAAAAGTTTAGTTGTCATGTTTTATTGGCTGCAAATCAAAGATCTTGATTGCTGAAAATTAAGAGTGGACTTTCTGAAGCATTATGGCTGACTCTTCTAAGGAAAGAATTGTAAGAAATATTGGGAATGATTGTCTTCTTACTGTCATTGGGGTTGGTGACCTGATTTGTGGTGTTAATGGAGGAGATATTACCATGATTGGATGTGCTTATCGTGGATGATTGAAGGGTGTGATCATGTAATGGTATATACAGTGGTATGAGAATTTTGATGTGGTCAAGAACGCGAGGTGAATAATATGTGCTGAATACAAAAAAAGCAAAACACATGAGGTAAATTGATAATTTGAGATTTACCTATTTATTAACATCCCGAAAATTCCGATCAATTTTTTCTTGTTTCCCTAAATAATAATAATAATAATAATAATAATAATAATAACTTCCATCTCCCAAAACTCCTCCTTTTATCATGCGGCCCCCACAGCTTACGGACCAATGGAAATCAAAAGGCCTTCGAAGCTTTGGCTCTAAAGTGCGCCATGTGTACCGTATATAATCCCCCTTCATTCAACGTCACTCTAATTTTGATTAAGTTTTGTATAAGGATTTAAACTATGTGATTTAAATTATTTTTAATTTATATGTACTTTTTATAAAAAAAATATTATAATAAATCATAAATTATAATTTAAATCAGAGAATGAATTTTTTTATCAAACGTCTTTTTATTTTTGAATTTGATTTATTCTTTTTTGAGTAAAACACGTAATTGTGGCAGAGGGAGGAGAGAGAAAGAGACACGTCATACATGTGAACGTGTACGTCGTAGTAAAAGCCAACCGCCAAAAAGCCATCGGTCAGAAGTCGGAACCCATTAGATTGGGCAGTGGCCGCCTCGAAATTCGCGCTTTAAATTTAACTCAACGCAAGATGACCTTTGCTGCTATAAATACCCCTCCTCTTCCTCTTAATTACCGCTCTGCCCCTTTCCCCATTTCTTCTTCTCCTTCTATTCTCTGTTTCCCCTTCGCCTCTCACCATCGTCGTCGTTTTCGTCTCTCTCCTGTTCTCTGCTTCTCTGCTTCAGGTATTAATCTCTCTCTCTCTTGTCGTCGTTTGGAAACTGGTCGTCGTTTCAGGTTTGAGACTTTGCAGCTTTTTTTTTTTTTTTCCTGAGATTTGGATCAGGAATCTGCTTCTCCGATATTATTTCTGTGGCTGTGAATATTTCTGTATTTTTCTTTTTTGTAACTTTTGATCGATTATTGGATATTATCAAGTTTTATGCTTTTTGGTTCGCTTTATTCTTGTGGTGATTCGTACAGGAATATTCTACATAGAATACGATTTGCGATTGTTCGCATTAAGCTATGTTGAAGCATTGATTCTGGTGTTTGGTATAATGTCCTGTATTAACTATTAGAATAGTTGTTAAAATGAAGAAACTTTGGTACATTCTTTTGAAGCGAATAACTTTAACTTTATGTTATTTCTATAAATTACTATTATACATCATTATATATATATATATGTTTATTTTGGTGTTTGGCTTGTGTTGTGATGCAGAGATGGATGCCCCTGCTGGTCAGAGTCTGTACCCGTTGCACCGTTCTAAAACTATACATCTGGTATGTGCAAAAAAAAAAAAAAGAAATCTAACCTATTTGCATTATGAAATAAATAGATCATGATGGGCTCAAAATTTCTTTGATTCTGTATTTTTTTTTGGATTGGAGTATTTTTTTTTAAAAAAATATAGTAATAGTAATTTGTACAGGTGAGACATGCTCAAGGCATTCACAATGTTGAAGGGGAAAAAGACCACAATGCTTACTTGTCTTATGACCTTTTTGATGCACACCTTACTCCTCTTGGCTGGAATCAGGTAATTTCTGTTCCGACATGTCCTTTTAACGAATCGGATATAGTTTGAGGTAAAACTTATCGTGAAAATTATGGTACATCCCAACATTTTAGGGCCCAAATCTTAGTCGCTAGATGATTGAGAGAAACAAACTCAGTTGTTGAAAAAAAGTTTTCTTTTGTTCCTTCTTTCTGTTTTCCTTTCTCCTCTGCCTTTGCAATTGCTTTTCTATGAATGAAAGGTTTTTTATTATATTATAAAATAGAATACAAAAAGTTTTTGGCTAAAAACTGAAAATACAACTGCTCATATAGTTTGTTTTCATTGTCAACAACTGAAATTGGACTTTATTGTTACCACCTGGGTGGATTTATAATCTAATATAGTTTATGAGACATGGACCTAAGTCCTAACACCCAGTCCCCAAAAGATTCTCTCATTTTATGCTTCCTCTAGCATTCAAGATTTTGTGACTTATTTTTGTGGTATATGACAGGTTGATAATCTCCACAAACATGTTAAAGCGTGTGGGCTTTCCAAGAAAATTGATCTAGTCATCACTTCTCCTTTGTTAAGGTATTACTTCACAGGAATAGAGTTTCTTTTAGCACGTTTTGATTCTACCTTGTGTGACTGGATCATTGCTAATTTGTGTTTCATTGGGTCTTATCTTTTAAAATCAATCAAGTTATTATTTTCAAATGTCACCATTCTCCGGCAATCATTTAGTATGAATCAGATGATAAGTTTGTCATAGCTTACTACCCGAACATACACATTCATCATCAGAAAACATTTATCAAGTCCTTGGTTTTTAGTATGTAGATTCTACTTACTCAGGTATGTGAAAATTTTACTATCGAGGCAAAATCGTTGATTGGGGTGGCTCAATGTGCTATGCAATCTAGATTCATCATTATAATAATTAACAACTTAGAAAACAGTAAAGAAATGTATTTGCTCATCGTAAATCAAATGCTTCGTAACAAAGCGTAACGGAAAGAATTAATCACGTAGTACAGCTTTACTAGGATAATAAACACCATCGCATAAAATATCCATTACAAAAACATTCCTCACTTTTTTTGCTCGGCTCCCATACATTATTCCTTCGAGATTTAAAACTAAGTTCGTTGGAAAAGGCCTTGGGATTAGCCTGTTTCTGGAGAAATTTAAGTGTTTTGTGCTGTCTGCTTATTGTTATGTACTTGAGCTTATTAATTCTTTTTTCTGTGTTGGAATTTGTTGATTTAATTATCTCTTCCAAGTCACCCGAATCTATGTTCCTTGGTGACCAATTATTTGCATTATAGGACCATGCAAACAGCAGTTGGAGTGTTCGGCGGTGGAGCCTACACAGATGGGATAAATGCACCCCCACTTATGGTGGCAAACGCAGGAAAGAGGGACCGTCCTGCAAGAACAAGTTTAAATTCCCCTCCATTTATAGCAGTAGAGCTTTGCCGAGAACATTTGGTATGTCATTTGCCCCCTCAAACTAGGGTTATGAAGTCAAAAAGTATATATGGAAAGAGAACAGATTTACCACCTAATTTAACTGATAGAAATCCAGTCACCAGTTTTGACTAGTCATTAACACTTAACCATGTGTGTGTTCTTTCTGTAGGGAGTTCACCCTTGCGATAAGAGAAGAAGCGTTAGTGAGTATTGTCCTCTTTTCCCTGCAATAGATTTTTCATTGGTAAGTATTCATCACTTTTATTAATCATTTGTAATGTGGAAAATCGTCTGTACCATTAGTTTTATTTTCACTGCTAGCATAGGTTGGTATTGAAACATTTTAACCGAGATTCTAATTTCAAATCTTCTTTAGATAGAAAATGATGAAGACATTTTGTGGAAGCCTGATGTTAGAGAGACAAATGAAGAAGTTGCAGCTAGGGGCTTAAAGTTTTTGAACTGGTGAGCTCCTTCATGCCAAGATCAATAAGTACACCAAAACAAAAGAATACTATTTCAACCAAGCCTTTGTTCTGGCTTTTGTGGTTGGATGCATTAGTTATTTCTTGCTTCTCTTACATGTCACTCGTTGTACTCTTGTTTTTTGGCTTACCTTTGTCTTTTGTTCGACCAACCGGAACAAACGTACTTTTTTTTTATGTGTGCCATTTTGTGTCTTCTAGAGGTGTCAAATATTCTTCTACAATGAGAAATTTTCATGCCTGACATCTTTTCGTTTGGACCAGGTTGTGGACACGTGAGGAGAGGGAGATTGCAATTGTTTCCCACAGTGGATTCTTATATCATACTTTAAGCAAATTCGGCGATGATTGTCATCCTACAGTGAAGAGTGAGATATGCACGCAGTAAGTGATAAAGGGGTCAAGCATGCTTATGTTTACCCACATTTTGAATTCATGCAGATATGCATTTAAGTTCCAATCTCTACGTTGCGCTAACTTGACGAATTGCAATGTGGTTGCAGCTTTGCTAATTGTGAGCTTCGTTCAATGGTTATAATCGATAGGAGGTAAGAAACTTTATTTTATAGAATCCCAAGTTGTTGTCTCTCTTTGCAGAGTATTTTATATCATTTTTGAGACGTTTCTGTGCAGTTTAATCGGATCAGGTTCTTCGACTACCAATTATCCCGGAAAAATACCCAAGGGGCTTGATCTTCCGAGTGATGTTGCTGAGGAGAAGCATCCAGAGAAGGGCGCACATAAGTAAATATTATTGCAGATTTGAAGCGCCCGAGGTTTAAGTAGGATTTTCAGCCTTAGCAATTTTTATATCGCCTCCTAGATTCAGATTTGGAGTGGGAAGATGAAACTTTGATGAGAGTCTTCTGGCTCAGTAATTTCTTCTAGGAATATAAGTATCACAGCTTTGAAGATTCTACACTTATTTGATTAGTTGAGCTCTGAAAGCCCTACTGAAGAGCTATGGACGTATTGATTAATCAGAGTCTGGTATTTTATGTGGCTCTGGAATTCAACAAATTTTTATTTATGTTCCGATTTTCTAAGCAGTAAAGATGCTTTCTTGAGACTATCTTTGCGAAAATATGCTGTTATTACTTTGTTGCTTTTGTGCTGCTGATAAGATATGCAACCAGTTGGCCATGTCAGTTTTTGTTCTCAAACAGAAGTTGGTCGTTTTGCGATGGTAATTACAAGAATATACACTTAACATTTCAATTATTTAAATGACCAACTTTATATTTTGGGGTATTACAAATTGATCATGACTTGAGTGAAATAATAGGTGGCAAAAAGGCTTTTGGGCGTTTATTAAACATCCGCTGTTTTATTGAAAGACTTAAGTCCGTTCACTTCACCGATTTGAGTTTAGAATTTGAGTTTTGTTACAGTAAAAAATTCTCAGAAATAGTCACATCTAACTTTTTTGTTACAATAAAAAACTCACATAAAATCACATCTTAACTCGAATTACAAACTTGAATCAGCGAAGTGAACGGGCCTTTAGATGATATTCTTAATAACGTTGGCCAAGCAGCGGAGTTATGACTGAACTCTTGCATCAAGTGTCAAGAAAATATAAACCTGAACACAATATTTTTCTTAAATGGGTTGACACTCAACACGACTGACCCGTATAACCCGTATAACGCATTTATCATGAGCACTGTTATTCAGTAGGGGTAGCAATTCGTGTCACGTGTCGTGTTTTGATCGTTTATTTCTAAATTTATAGTCAACCCGAACACGACCTGTGACACGAAATTTTTTAAAAACTGTAACATGACCACTTTACGAGTTGACACGACACGAAAATGATCCATGACCCGAAATTGACCCGTGAACCCGAAATTGACACGAAAATTGTGTACTTTTATTTAGTTTTTTACATATTAGAAATAACTTAAAATTCATAATACTCTAAAATACAATAACATCTATTGAAATTAGACAAATAATAATATAAGATTTTGAGTATAACTATCATGATATCATAAGTTCATAATAAAATTAAAAATATGTAATGAAAAATATACGTATTTTTTAGCTTTTTACGAGTTTCATGTCGTGTTCGGGTTAGATGGGTCCAACTTGAATTGACTCATATTTTTCGTGTCAATTTCAAGTCGATCCAATTCTAACCTGAACATCTTTTTTCTCAACCCTAACCCGATAAATTTGTATAATTTTCGAGTCGTATTATCGTGTCATAACTCATATTATCGGCCTTACTACTCGGCACCGTATTTAGGCATCTTCGCACAACACCGCGTGAGCTAAAGAGTGTCACGTTAGGTCAAAAATCATTTTTCTATTGAATATAATTGACACAAGTGTGACTCGTTTGACGTGATTATGACAAGTTTGATACAATAATAATGTCTCTTTGATCAATTTTTCTTTTCTTTAAAAAAAAAATGAAATTTAACCACTCAATTTAAAATTCATATTGTTTTATTTACTATTATATATAGCTTGTTCTTTTTACAACTAAAAATTTTTAATATAATATTTTTTCTTATAAAAATTTAAATTTAACTTTTATATAAAATTTAAATTTAACTTTTTTATAACAGTACTTTCTCTCAAATAAAAAAATCAATAATAATAATAATAATAATAACAATAACAACAACAACAACAACAACAATAATAATAATAATAATAATAATAATAATAATAATAATCATCATCATCATCATCATCATAATCATAATCATAATCATAATAATAATAATCATAATAATAATAATAATCATCATCATAATAATAATCATAATCATAATTGTAAAACCTAAAATTTGAAATGGGGTTAATTTGTAATTTTTAAAGACTTAAGTGTGAAAATTTTAAAAATCTGGGCCAAAATGTAATTTTTAAGAAATGTGGGGATTAAAAACGGATAATTAGACACTCAGTGAGTCCAAACTAGTATTAATGCCACTTGAGCGTGTTCCACCTCATCAGAAAAATTCAAAACACAAAAACCCACTTTCTCTCTCCTTCCACGCGTGCGGCCGTACACATCCGGGAAAGATTCCGGCGTCCGTTTCGACACCTCCCGGCTCGTTGGAAAGCTCTCGTCGAGTCGAGTCCGGATTGGTGTCTTGCGGCCGCCAACTCCGCCGGACGCCGCCACACTCGCCGGTCAAAGTTTCAAAAAATCTCGAAAACTTCCGATCGTGATATCTTCGCCGTC